CGTTTCCGTCGTCCCGGTTCGGGGGTGTGACAGAGGGTTAGCAAACCCTAGCCTCCCATTCCTTTTAAATAGGGTTCCAACCCGAAAGTTTAGGGTTTCATTAAAATCACTCGCCATGTTGTGGCTCTTATAGCCACACCGTGGCGGGTCATTTAACCTTCACAGCCAAGAAAACAATCGTCACGCCATGGTGAAGATCCACCACGTCGTGGCCACCCAAGAATGAAATTCAAATTTTTAACATAGTAGCTTGTACTTAACACGAGTGTTACACAACAGGTCAGACCCTGTACTTCTTAGTTTTTGGAGCAGAAGTCATGATCCCAACTGAAATGGTGATACCGACAGCAAGATACCAACTTCAAACTCAAGACGATAACGATAGGATTCTAGCTCATGATCTTGACGTGATTGATGAACTAAGGGATCTTGTCGAGATCAGCATCGATGCCCATCAACAAAGGATTGTCGAACCTTACAATAAAAATATCAAGATTAGAAGATTCCAAGTAGGTGACTTGGTCCTCTGAAGTGAATTTCACAATACCAAGGATCCTAAGGCATCAAAACTAGCACCCAACTGGGAATGACCCTATCTCAAAGATTCAGAAGAAGGAAAAGGGGCATATTGGCTAGCTACTCTACAAGGAAGTATATTGCCAAGATCATGAAATGTTATACACCTCAAAGTGTAATTCATGTAAGTAAAGTTCATCATACTTCATTACAGCAAAGTCAATGTACACACCTACTCCCTGCCCTCACTCTTCCTTTTGATTATTTTTCGCTCAAGATCATCATTGACTTAAGCATCGTAGGGGCGTTAGACAAGCTAACATACACCCCAAGCTAACGTTTTCAACATGTAGAAACTTAAATAGCTTGGCAACCATAAATAGAGATTGATCGTATCTCCTCCGATCAAGGGTACCTAATCCCCTCTAAGGTTTAAAGAATTAATGACATCTTTCATCCATGTTTGGATTCCCACACCCTGCTTGGATGTACGATATCTAACCATCGAATGTGGATAAGGGTATCATTTCACGCTTTAGTGACTTGGCAACCCTCTTATCTCTGAACATGTGTTAAGATCCTATGTGTTAATCTACGGTTTATAACATTATAATGTTATCTTACGATTTTCAGATTTTCTCTACTATTCTAAGTTGGGATTTTCCCCAGTATTTTAAGTTGGGATCTTCCCCAGTATCATCTTAATTGAGATTTTCCCTAGGAATGTATTTAGAGGGATCCTCCCCATATCAAATCCCAAGATTATGGAATACTCAGACCCTCTCCAAAGATAGGATCCTGAAGAAGGGTTCAAAAAGACAACCGATAATCTGGTTGAAAATTAAGGAAGGGAATTCAAAACATATCACCAGGCTCTATCTATCTTTATCTTCTAATTTATGTTTACTAAAACACTACGCTTGAAGAGAAAGCTATCTTTAATAGTTCCTCTTCTCCCAAAGACTTTCCTACAATTCTTAGGTCTTTTTAACCATAGTTTCTCTCTCAAACCATTGGATCTTGACTATTTCAACATCATGAAGCCTGACTATCTCAGATTCTAAAGATCCTAATAATTTTCATAAAGCCTAAAATCTTAATCAAATCTACCTTAGCCATATATACTTCTACAACCGAACATTCACACAAATAAGATAATAAAAGCGAAAACATAGAAACTAAAAGTATTCCCCACTAATCCGTAAAAAAAAGGTTAAATTGTTTACAGACCAAATTTGAAATTGTTTTTTATCAAACCTAAATGCTACCCATTGTATGATAATCACATATTGGAGTCGCCTCTGCCTCCTCATCCTTCTCTTCCTCTTCTCCCTCCTTCTTCTTCTCCTATGGCCCCATGAGATCCCTACTGACATTAACTTGCTAGCCAGTTAACCAGGCCAAGGCATCACGTCAACCGACCACGTTCCAAGATCCTGCGTTTCCTTATCCACGTCCTCCACCATCTTAATCTTTCCCTCCCAAACAGCTTTGGCGACACTACTCTTCAGCTCTAAAATCACATCCTCAATCTCATAGGCATGCACCTATTCCTTCTCTACCTTCAACTTGCTCATCTTCTCCACCCGCATCAAGAGATCCTTGTTGGTCCTCATCTCTGAGCCTCAAACCCCTCAGTAGATTGGGAAACATGATCTGAAACCTAAGAAAGATCATAATTAGTAAAAAAATCAATAAATAAAAATGCTTACGGTCTGTGAGAAGGAAATCAACTTCTTCATAGCCTCCTGTGCCCCTAGGTCGTCCATGTTAAGATCCGAGATCTCAGACGGCTTTCTCTTCCTGGACCCATGAGTCTTTATAGTCATATCAATCGGAGCCCTCTTTGGAAGAAGAGAATAGGAAGTATTTTCCTTTTAAGCACAAGTTGACCACTATAGATGGCCTCCTCAAGGTCAGAGAAGGAGGAGTGAGTGCTAGAACATGTGATTTTGGATCTTGAAAATTACAAAGGATCTTCATAAGTTCAAGATCCAAAAAGTAAAATAAATAAACAGAGGACCCTGACCGATAGACATTGGGAAAGTAGTTGATGGACTCTCTTGAAAGTTGGGATGCTCGGACTTGAAAGATCTTTCGATTTTAGGTAAAGTGAAAAAACTCTCGATCTTCTCTTCAGTCTCTTCGGTGGCAGATGCAAGTTTCTCAAGCTTGGTGGCTGCATAAAATCAAACAAGATAAGAAATTGTGAATTTATGGATCCTTAATATAATAAATCAAATCCTGACTTTTTGACCCAGTTCAATGGCAGAAGATCACCGTTGGGAATGGACTCGCATTTCACAAAGAAAAAAAATTCTTTCCAGGTACCATGATTTTGTTTTGTGTTCAAAACTAGGTGCGTTTTGTTGTTTTTAACTTTTAACAGGAAACGGGAAGAGCCAAAAGTTGAAAGATCATAAACATGGGCTAGTTCATCCAAAGCCATGTCAAGCCCCATGGACCGAGTCAAACAGTCAATCCAAAAAAAATTCTCATCCAGAGCGTAGGCATGGTTTGGATGTAAGAGATTTTGGTTACCTCAAAAAACTCAGAAAGAACACCACAGAAAGGATAGATCTAACGTAAGGAGAAGGGATACTCGGGGAAGCAAACCCAAGTAGAAGAAACAAAATCTAGTTGGGTGTGAGTATCGAATGGTTTGAAACCGGTATCAGCAAGAAAAATCCCACTCGTTTTCAAAGATTCAATGTTACTGTCATCAAAAGAACAAGTCTCCTCATACTTCAGGATTTTATTATCAACAAAATCCTCATGAGAGGGGGCAAGGATGCTTGCACACGAACAAATTATCTTTTTACCCATGGACCAAAAAGAGAAGAAAGTAGGAAAAATAAAAGAGCAGGGGGTATGAGATTTACCTCAAAGACGACTGATAATGCTTGAGAGAACGATAGAAAAGGTAAAGAAGCACTGGTAACAACTATGCCCTATTTATTCGGGTCACAGGAGATATATATATATATATATATATATATATATATATATATATATATATATATATATATATATAAAAGTGACATGACAGGTTAATCCTTCCCAATGAACGGATAAAATTATATCCATTAGAGTTTGAATTTCGAAATATTTATCTCAAATTAATTTTGAAATAAACTATACTCTTTATATATATTTGAAATTAATTCAAACATTTTGCAGGTATAATTTGGGGGCAATTGTTATGGGTCAGGATCCTGAAACATGTCTAGGATCTCGGATCTTAAAGTGGAGTCAGGATCCTGAAACATATGTTTTAACGAGTATGGATCCAGAATATTATCAATATTATTTCCTAAAAAAATAATAAATATACTTCTTGTTTATTAATCACATGTGTAGAAATAGTAAACACAAGACACATCTATACTAAAGAATCGCTCCAGTGAAAGCTTAAAATCCGGAATCACCAAGTCAAGGCAACGTGCAAGGGCTTGTTTAACAGGATCCCGAGAATATCAGACATCTAGTTAGTCAACCTAGACTATAAATTCACATGTACAAATCACACAAGACACCGAGAGCAATTTAATCACTTGTACTCGTACTCTCAAATACATTTATGTAATTTACATTTCGATTAATAAGATTAAACAATGCAGGTGATCATTATCACCTCCCAAGGTTTTATGTCGGAGATTCTAGCAATGATCAAGGGCTTTCATTGTAAGATCACTTGTGTCACTCTCATTTTCACATTCTCATTGATTGCAACACCACAACCTTTCATATAATTTGGTTGATATTTCCTTGATATTTTTCGACGAAAACATTGCTTTATTTTTTTGTTTAATTGTAGATATCTTTTTTTTTTCTTTAGTCACACTATTGCTTTCTTTCGGTGGCTAATATTTTCATACACATATATACATGATATCATAGGTATAAGCTTCTTTTTCCGTATGCTAGCTATCATCAATACAAGCAATCTGCATATACTCGCGTAGATGTTGCCTATATCATATCTCCTTTTTATCTTTCTATTTTCAGACTTGGGTATTGTTGTTGTTTTCTTATAATAAAAGAAACAAAAATGTTATACTATAATAAAATTTTATATATTAAAACATTATTACTTCTTATACTTATCCCTTTTAATTAATTTACATTAGTGTAATTGTCAATGTATGCATGTATAAATATCATTAGAATGTTGGTTACAAATAACCTAAATGTAGATTTTTCAATTTGTTGACAATGACAACATATGAAGAAAAAAATTTAAAATATAGTAGTTATATATCAAAGTAATATTATAATATATATTTATTATTCTAAATATCCACCCAACTTAAATAAATAAATAAAAAATCTAACCTCATATTCTTAAAAATGTAATTCTTATTCTTTCTTAGTCACCTTGGGGAAACATGTGGGGCATAGAAGTGTTGAGGAGTGTATGTGAAGCGTAGACCGTAGTTTCAAGAAAGTGTATGAGTAGCAATTAGCTTCAAAACCTACCCACCCGTGACAACGATTAATAAACCAACGCCATTTCCGCGCCCAGCAGTTACTACTTCCTCCCACTCTCTCTCTCTCTCTCTCCCCCTCTCTCATCTCTCTCCATTTCACTTATCATCATCACCTTTTTCTGCTACGGTTTTCATTTTCACATGGAATGGATCAATAACTTCAACAACAACACAAAAAAGCAGATCAAATCATAATACGACTAAAGATTCATCTTCCTTCAAGGTTTCATTACTGGCTTCCGTTTTTTCTGTATGTAACTGGATGGAATTAGCGTTTAATGTCTGTGAAAACTTTCTTTCTGTAGATTGAAACGATTGCTAAGTGATTTGTTTCCGTGTTGAAATGGGGAAGAAAGGGAGTGGTTGGTTTTCGTCTGTGAAAAAGGTGTTCAAGCCTTCAAACAAAGATCTCAATGAGAAGGTTAGTTTTTGTTTTGGTTTCGGAATTCAGTTTGTATACACGTAAACTGTTCATCGATGAACTGAAACGTGAAAAATGTTGACAAAAAAAGCATATGTCAGTCCGTATTTTGGTTCTCCAGAACAGTTTTTGTTCGTTTTGTACCATGAATGTCGTCTTATGCAGTGTAAATTTAGGAACAGTAGTTGCAGATTTGGATAAAAACATATTTTATTTTGTTTTGAAATGATGATTAGTTTGATCTGTTCATCAGTTTCGATCTGATTAAATATGTGCGACAATTGCCAGGCAAAATAAATGTAATGCTAGTTTTGATCCACTTTCACTAGGGGTTAAACAAATAATTAGGTGTTGAATTAAATTTATACTTGCTTTTTGTGCAATCCATTTCTATCATTAACCATGTGATCTTTGTCCTTTTGGCTTTTCTTGGAGGTTCCATATTTACTACTGTCATGAATGGTCCCCCTACCTTTTACACTGTGCAATTTGGCCCAGCAATTTGTGAAATTTTATGAGATATAACCATCATGCCACCTATATATATCACAATCAACCATGTCCCTAGATCATGTGCTTCTTATGTTTCATCACAATCACCCATGATTCTTAAATCTAAATCTCGATTCTTGCATACATTAGTGAAATTTGTTAAATTTATTTGAGATTTATTTTGGAAATTAATCAATTTATGAGCAATTATAGAATGGTTTTCGCAAGGAGAATGTGGTGGATAAACAACAAGAAGACAAGCCGGAGGTTGTGTCTTTTGAGCATTTTCCAGCAGAGAGTTCACCGGATGTCACCAATGAGGAAAGTGATGGTGATCGGTTGTCTCAGGCGGGTGATGATCGGGATCATGCTATTGCGGTGGCGGTGGCCACCGCTGCCGCCGCGGAGGCGGCGGTTGCCGCTGCTCAAGCGGCGGCTAAAGTTGTTCGTCTCGCCGGTTATGGCCGCCAGTCTAAGGAAGAAAGAGCTGCTATCCTCATACAATCATACTATAGAGGATATCTAGTAAGTATACTCCTACAAATTAACCTTTTGCTAAATTTAAAATGTTAAATGCAATAATTAGCAAGATACTTATATTGATGTGTGCGTATTGGCTCTATTTCATTATATTTCATCCATATCCCAATTCCATTCATTTAATATCCTTTTAGTGTCATATTATATATATATATATATATATATATATATATATATATATATATATATATATATCATTGTGGTTGTATTTCTTCCTATTAGAACATAGTAGTTTTAGAATTCTACTTATTATACCAATACATAGCAAATAAAATGAAATTTTCACTTCTATAATAATGTAGATTTTTCAAAAGTATAACAATTTAAAAGTACAATGCTATAAGTGGGTAAAATTTTCAAAGTCTAATTCCTTAATAATAAAGAAATTAAAAGTAGAGTGTTGTAATAAAAAGAAATGAAAGTACCAAAGGGCTTCTAGCCCAGCGGTATCAGGTGTTGCCCTCCCTCCTTGAGGTTGAGGGTTCAAGTCTCGTTGGAGACATAGGTGGATTTAGGATTAGTTTAGGATTATATTGTATTTGCCGTTCAAAAAAAAAATGAAAGTAAGATGACATAATACACAAATAATTAAAAGCACAATGCTATTTCTTGTGCTTAATTAGCCTGATTAAAAAACCTTCATTCTTTCTTGAATTGGTTATAATATATAACCTTCCTTCTCAAATAAACAAGCAGAACAGTTTGTTTTGGTTGTTCGGTTTTTAGTAAAATTCCAGCCTGGAATTACCTCTTTTGGCATTGATTGATAGCATTTATTTCAATCAACAAAATTCCTATATCTTGACATATGCTTAAGGGTACTTTAGATATTTGATTAATTGTCAAAACATTTTGTAAAATAAAAATTCAATTCCATTTTGTGTTTCTTTTATATTTGGGTGTGGGAACGCTATATATGATTGGGGTACATGAAAGAAATAGTAACATACTTTCATTGATCTGTTTTGTTATAGCATACTAATTTCATTTTCTCCTATTTCATCATTGTACTTTGAAAATTTTATCAAATTATAGCAATGTAATTTCATCCAAATACAAAATAATTTTCATTTGTATAATCGTGGACATTTATCATATTATAATGTAACAATAAGAAGAAAAAAAATCAAAACTGCAACACTAGAATTGAATATGTTTTTCATACTACTATGACTTGATAAAAAAAAAGTTTGTAAAGTACAATGTTTTAATAAATAGAAATGAAATGATGATTACTTAGAAATAAATGAAAATAAGTTGATATTTCTTGCTATTGTTTAGAAATAAATGAAAATAGGTTGATATTTCTTACATTCAGCCATAAATAAAAGTATGTTGCTATTTCATGTAGGCTAGACGTGCATTACGAGCATTAAAGGGACTAGTGAGGCTGCAAGCCCTAGTAAGGGGCCATAATGTACGGAAACAAGCTCAAATGACAATGCGGTGCATGCAAGCCTTGGTGCGTGTGCAAGCAAGAGTGCGGGCACATAGACTTGAATTAACACATGAAAAGCTCCAAAAGAAAGTCGGGAAAGATGAAAAGCTGATAGTGTCACCAAAAACACGAGAAAACATAAATGAGAGCATTGAAAAGATTAAAGGAACTGCTTTGAGAAAACATGATGCCGAAATGAAAAGAGAAAGAGCTCTTGCATACGCATTCGCATACCAGGTTCATCATTGTATTAATGTTTTGAGTATTTGATGAAAGGATAAAATACAGAAAAACATGACCGTATATTTACCATTGAATCGGTTTGACTACTTTGAGAAAACCATTTTACCAGCTACCCGGTTTTAAAAAAGTTTTTCTTTTTTTTTTTTTTTTTTTTTTAATTCAGGTAGCTTTTAAAAAAAGGTTTTTTTTTTTTAAATCAAAATTTATTTCACCATTTTATTGATTGAGCTATTTAACTATATGTTTTACAGATTAAAACATTGTACTTTTTTTACTTTAAAGAAAAACATTTTCATGGTTACCCGGTTTATAAAAAATGAAAATATAGAAAAACATTAAGGTATTTTTATCATTTTATTAGTTTAGCTAATTAGTTATGTTATATATTCAGTATATTTTTTTGACTGTTTCAAAAACTAATTTTCAAGGTTACCTAATATTAGAAAAGGCTATAATGCGTAAAAGCACAATGTTTTTTCATCATTTTATTTTATTGGATTAGCTAGTTAACTAGGTTCTATGGTAAATAAATTATTATATTTTTTGGACTGATTAAAAAATTCATTTTCCCGGATACCTAGTTTGAAAAGGTTAAAATATAGAAAAACATAACATTTTTTCACTGCTTTATCGCTTTAGCTATAGCTAAAGTATATTATGTTTTTATAGTATTGTTTCTTGATATCAATCCGGGGAACCACCAAACATGGTTTTTTAAATAGTTAAAAAAAAATAATTAGGTAACTCTGTAAATTGATGATACAATGAAAATAGAAGTTTTTTTTTTCTGTAATTAGCCATTTACTAAAAGAAATAACCATACATATATATTACTAAGATTATTATTTTTTTTCAAATAACAGCAAGAACAACAACAACATTTCATATCATCCGAAAGTGATAACACGATATCATATCCCAATGATCATGAAAAACAACAATGGGGATGGAACTGGCTCGAAAGTTGGATGGCATCACAACCCTACCAAGGCCACCCAATTGGGCCCCATGACGGGTCCTACTTGACCCAACCCACAAGCGACAATATATCGGTTAAAACAGTCGAAATGGACCTAGTCACGCCTGTGAGTTCCGAATACATCACTACAGGCCGACTCAGTGGTGAAACCGTCGACTCGGCCCAACACTCTCAATCCCGACGCCAGTCGGGATCAGACATGGTCCCTAGCTATATGGCCCCAACCCAATCAGCTAAAGCCAAGGTTCGAGCCCAGAACTCAGGAAAAAACAAAGGTCAGCCCATTAAAAAAGGGTTGCCCTTTGATACATCAAGTTCTGGGGGCATTTTTCAGGTCCCTAGAAGCCCGAGCCCAAACCTTAAAGGATATGGCAATGGGGCTAATGGTGTTCGAGCTCAGTCTAAATGGTCAACAGGTTATAGCCCGGATTCGAGTGGAGGTGATGATGGGTCAATGGGTCGTTATGGGTGGAGACACCATTTTGGATGATGATGATGTTATAGTGATGGTAATAATAGTGATTGTGTGATATTATTTCCCTTTTAAAAGTTGTTAATATACGTTTACTTGTGGACACTTTTAATTATATAATTATGTTTTTTTGGCTAAAACCGGGGCTATTTGTTATTGTTAAATTGTATGATATTTTGGTTTATGGAAGTACGTTTAATTGTAGGTTATCAGCTAATTGTTTTAAAAAGTTGCATAGTATGAGTCGTTTAAAATGCTAATATTATTTCACGTGTACTTAGTAACTTGCTACTAATTTTGTAATCTTTGAAAAAATTATTGTTGTAATTTCATGTCTATTTATAATAGGGATAATGACTTAAAAGGGTAATCAATTTTTTGTTTTGTATAGATTTAATCATTGAGTTTTTTTTTTTTTTTTTTTTTTTTTTTTTTTTTTTTTTTGTCCATATTTTCCCATTGAACATGTTTACCTATTCAAAAAACATCCTTATGATTTGGGGAAATTGTCACTGTAGCATAACGAAGTTTTGGCTTTGTCCCAAATTGGTCACTAAAGTTTTTTTTGCACAATTTGTCCCTCAACTTTCAAATTAACTGTCAGTTACGCCATTTTAAGCAAGGGAACCGGATGAACCGTTTACTTTGCTTACGTGTTAATTAGAAAAACGAATAAAAAGATAATCGAAGGCCACGATGGCAAATCCACGTAATTATCAAGTTAAATGAGACAATTCAAGTGTAAATGAGAGGAACTTACAGTTGTTAGTCGTCGTTTTCATTAGCAGTACTCCAAAACCTCGAGCTAGAGCTAGGGTTTACAATTCCCCACATAACGAAGTGAAGTAGGAGGAAGAAGAAGTTATGTCAACCTCAACCCCCATGCGATATTTTCGATAGTGGAACTGAACTTTAAGGGGATGTTTATTCGCCGTCCTTTATCTTACACTAGTTGTATGAAATTCACCTTCACAAATCATGATTGTTCTGGTATGACACACTCAGTGTGTATTACTTTTCTCGAACATTTCATGCAATTAGATTGTAAGAAGCTATAAAACTGTGAGTTATGTGCTCCCCTTTTGAGTGGCCTTATGCCTATCTCGAATGAACTGAAATATGCAGGCTTCATCTTTGATGCATATGGAATTGATGTTCAAATATCCCTTTATGTGGACCATATTGGTCATGTAATAGATGATACGTTTGAGTCAGAAGGAGGAGATGATGACCATGATTCTTATATTAGTGGTCGGGATGATGACATAGGTACCCTTAAGGATGTGATCGTGGATTTTAATGAGGAAATAGTTACTATGAATAGGACATGTAATGATGAATTCTTGACTAAATTGTGCCCAACAAGAGGGGGGTAGGAGGATACCAACTATGATGTAGAATACGAGGATGAAAGTGAACCCACAAGTCAAGTTCATGCCATTTTTAATGAGTTAACACACTAGAAGAAACAAAGTATGAGATTTAAAGATCCAGCTCAACTAAAAACTATGTTGTGCAACCATGCCATGATGTCGATAACCCACAAGTCAAGTTCATGCCATTTTTAAGTGTTTATTTTGAGATATGTGGAGTGACTCGACGAGTTGGTGCCTCAACTCGTCGAGTAGAGTCGCGACTAGTGACGCGGATTAATGAGCGGACTCGACGAGTGCTGAAGGAAACCCTAATTTCTCGGGCTTGTGGCCTATTTAAAGGCCCTTATGGCCTCCCTTTCCGGCCACCTTCCCCAGAGAGAAACCCTAACCTGCCCTTTCATTGTAGAGAGAGAGAGAGAGAGAGACTATCTTGAGCATTCTTGAGCATTTTGGAGGAGACATTAGAGGAGTTTGGTGGATCCATCCAAGAGGAGGCTGTGGATCTTGCATTCTTCTGTCATTTGCTGCTATTCAGAGCTAAAAAGCTCTCATATTGGCCTCTTGTTCGTTAGATCTCATTTTTGGGGAGCTTTTAGGGTTTTCTCTCAAACATGTTGTATTCTTGATCTTTTTTAGCATGGTTTGAGGTTAGAACCTCAGATCTAGACTAGAGGCGACCTTGAGGGTCCAAAGATTTGAGCTTTATCGAGTTAGAGGTAGGTCCCCATGCATGTGACCTTTCTTGGAGCTTGTGATGACATTTTGGAGCATTCATGCCATGCATGGTCATCAAGATCGGACCTTTACGTGACTTTTGGGTATTAGGAGGCTAGATCCAGAGGTTGGAGTTGCAGATCTGACCTCAGACGTCCATAAGAGACATCCAGATGAGTCAACTCACAGAGTCTATGCGATGACTCGACGAGTCGGATCGGGTTGCCCCGCGATTCGTGACCCAGTGGTAACCTATCGAGTTGGGAGGTTAACTCGACGAGCCGTGTGAGACACTTAGAAGAATTCAGAGGATACGAGTGGACTCGACGAGTCGGGGCAACTTTGGTGGTTGACTCATATTGACTGCCGTGTCTTGAGAGTAAGGCAGTTAGGAACATTGAGACCATGGAGGGTAAAATGGTCTTTTACCCTCCTGTGAGCATAGAAGGGTTAGTCTAGCTTCTTGAGGGCCAATATTAATTAGGGATAATTATTATGTGTTAGGCGGAGGCTAGACTGCTGGGTAGAGTTCGAGATTTCTGAGTAGGAGGTCTTCACTTTCTAGATTACGAGGTGAGTCTTCTCACTATACTTACCTTGAGTGGTAATTTTATGTGTGACCAGAGGGTCTTATGTGAATAAGTTGTGTATTGAGATATCCTGTTATTTGTTATGTGATATGTTTACTGTGTATTATATTAAGCTGCTGAGTTGAGGGACCAGAGGGTCCATCTGAGTTGTGGTACCGGAGTGTCCCACTGAAACACATTGACCGAAGGGTCTTATTAAGTTATAGGCTCGAGTGGCTGATGTGTTGTGTGTGGTATTTTGAGGAACTCACTAAGCTTTATGGTTATTGTGTTATGTGTTATGTGTTTCAGGTAGTTCCGAGGACCGTGGCAAGGCACCGGCATGATTGTACACACTGGCGGGAGATTGTTTTTATGATTCTGGGATTGTGTTTTACTTGTTGACATTTGAGACATATGTGATTTTGAGAATTATGGAATGAGTTTTATTGTGTTCGAAAATGAACCCTCGGGTGTGTTTGGACTCAAACTGAGGATTTGAGAAAGATTTTCAAAAGAGGTAATTTTTTCTAAAAATGAGAAAGAGTTTATGAGAAGACGAGTCGGAGCAGTGTATACAATCAGCCAGAGCCCGAGTGGTGATTTCCCAAAACACCCTCATTTTGTGTTACGAGTTATTTTATGAGATATAATACATGCTAGAGAATAGGCTAGGTAATTCATATATTAGGACTAGGGTGGCCAGATTTGTGATGCCTTAGCCTAGGGTTTTCTGCTGTCAGTGATTTGCTTTGAGTATGAGTACCTAGCAGGAGTGAGCCAATGAGAGGACTATTGTGAGAGTAGCTTGTGAGGCATAGAGTACTTGTAATTGGGATCCAAGGAGGAGGACTTGGGGTGATCACTGATGCGGTGTGGAAGGTAGTATTGGGCCCGTACTACTGGAAGCACCAGATCAGTGAGTGGTCCAAGTAAGAATCCTTAGGATGCTAAGGAACAAGTAGGGGCGGGTGATCGAGTGTGAGTATACTCGAGCGAGTCTCTGATGATTTTGTGTTGTGTTTCAGAGACATCATGGTGGGTACACGCCACAACCCGAGTAGCAGTAGGAATAGTGATGAGGAGATACGGAGGATGATCCACGATGAGGTGGCTGCAGCTATCCGAGCAGAGATTCCAAAGATGTTGGGGTCTATCAAGACCACCTTGATACAGATGTTCGATGAGCGATACGCTGCTATCACTGAGGCTGCTGCTGTCGTGGCCACTGTAGCCGTCGCCGCTGCTAGGCCTCAGGGAGGTGACTCGTTGATGTTCTGAGAGTTCAGCAACACGAAGCCACCAGAGTTTGATGGGACGCAGGACCCGATTGCTGCGATGAGGTGGATCTCTGATATCGAAGGGTGTTTTTACACGTGTTCATGCCCCGACCACTTGAGAGTTCGGTTTGCACTGAACCAGCTTCGCTTGGGAGCGAAGGACTGGTGGAAGTTTGTGACAGCTAGTTTTACCCCTGCAGATCATGCTGCAGTGTCATGGGAGAGGTTTGTTCAGATGTTCCGAGACGAGTATGTTCCCCCGGTGGAGAGGAAACGTTTGGCACAGGAGTTTCTGTCTCTCAAGCAGAAGACAGAATCAGTGACTGAGATTTCAAGGATGTTCCATGAGAGGGCGATGTTTTGCCCTAAACACGTGTCCACTGAGCAGGAACGTGTGAGCCGATATCTGAGCATACTGAGGAGGAACATACGAGAGTTCGTTGCGAACTCGTCTTATAGGACATTGGCCGAGCTTCAGGCCAATGCTAGGAGGAGGGAGATTGAGCTTGAGTTGCAGAACAGGGAGGAGGAGGAGGAGTCCCGGGTTAGGGACCGGAGACCAGTGCAGTCGCAGCCGGCAACGAAGTGGGCCAAGCCCGCTAATTCCAGTGTTGGGGGCCAAAAGGGCCGCACTTATGGCAAGTGCGGCAAGAGTCACGAGGGTTCTTGTCATTCGGGTATTTGCCACAAATGTGGTAAGGAGGGGCACATGGCGAAGGATTTGCCCAAGGGATTCTCGGTTTGCTTTCATTGCAACCAGACCGGCAACTGGAAGGCCGAGTGCCCTCAGCTCGTGCAGGGATCAGCCCATGGATCTGTACCTACTTCTGTGTGTGCTGCTGAGATTCGGCCAATGAAGGCCTAGACACCGAGGGTTCGAGCGAGCGCCTTTCAGTTGACAGCGGAGGAGATCCGTGCAGCTCCTGATTTTGTGGCTGGTACTTTTCTTGTGAGTTCTGTGCATGTCTTGGTGTTATTTGACTAGGGTGCGAGTCGATCCTTTGTATCATTAGCATTTAGTCGTCACATCAGTATCCGACGAGAGGCGTTAAATCGACCTCTGAGAGTTTCCATAGCCGATGAGCATGCGCTGTTTGAGACTGATGTGATTCGTAGATGTGAGCTTGAGATCTTCAGAGTTAAGTTTCCAATAGATCTGGTACCGATCACGATGGGGGATGTCTGTGTCATCGTAGGCATGGACTGGTTGAGTCGATTTGGAGCTGTGATCGACTGTGAGCGTCAGCTGGTGACCATACGAGACCCTAGTGGGGGGAGTGCTTACAGTATATGGCGAAGGTACCCGATCTGGGTTGGCATTTTGTTCGGCCGCCAGAGCGAGACAGAGTCTACAACAGGGTTGTATGGGGTTTTTGGCGTATGTGATGGATACGCGGGCTGCTACAGAGAGGTCGAGTTCTATCTTCGAGGTTCCGATAGTGTGCGAATTTCCAGATGTTTTTCCCAATGAGTTGTCGGGAGTGCCTCCCGAGAGGCAGGTAGAGTTTCGGATCGATTTGGTACCGGGGGCGGCGCCAATTGCAAGGCACCTTATCGCTTTGCGCCTCCGGAGATGCAGGAGTTATCCTCACAGCTACAGGAGCTGCTGGGGAAAGGGTTTATCAGGCCGAGTAGCTCGTCGTAGGGAGCCCCGATCCTTTTTGTCAAGAAAAAGGATGGTTCACACCGGATATGCATTGATTATCGGGAGTTGAAAAAGTTGACGGTCAAGAACCGTTACCCACTTCCGAGGATCGACGATTTGTTCAATCAGTTGCAGGGGCGTCTTGGTTTTCCAAGATCGATCTGAGATTTGGGTATCATCAGATGAGATTCCGCGATGAGGATGTCCGGAAGACGGCCTTCAGGACACGTTATGCGCACTATGAGTTCGTGGTGATGCCTTTCGGGCTCACAAACGCATCGGCAGCTTTCATGGACCTCATGAACCGGGTGTGTAGGCCCATATTGGATCGATCGGTGATCGTGTTCATCGACGATATATTGGTGTATTCGAGATCCAGGGAGCAACATGAGGAGCGCCTGAGGGAGATTCTGGGTGTATTGAGATCGGACAGGCTCTATGCCAAGTTCTCCAAGTTTGATTTCTGGTTATGAGAGGTCTAGTTCCTGGGACACCTCATTAACCAGAATGGTATTTTGGTCAATCCGGCCAAGATTGAGGCAGTTATGAGGTGGGAGGTGTCGAGATCCCCCACCGAGATCAGGAGTTTTCTGGAACTGGCCGGATACTATCAGAGATTTTATCAGAGATTTCTCCAAGATCGCCGGCCCCCTCACCAGTTTGACCCGGAAGGGTGTTGCGTTTACTTGGGGTCCCAAGCAGCAGACCTAATTTGAGACCCTTCTCTAGAGATTGTGTGAGGCTTCCGTGTTGGCCCTTCCGGAGGGAATGGACGGTTTTGTGGTTTATTGT